AATTAAAGAACACTAATAAAATCACAATGTGACTATTATTACGGCTTTAATCGTCTATAAAAAATTAATTTGATTGGCTAGTAATCACGTGGATGCATTTTGAATGGAGTTTTTATATGTGGGCCAGACAATTAGTGTGCACTTACAGAATAAAGAACGTGCATTTATCTATAAGTCCCACCTAGGGCATTTAGAGGCTGACTGTAGTTTTCATAAATTAATGATTTAAGAGGTCACTTATAATGTAGGAGATCCGCATTATCATTCTTTTTTGTTTTCTATATATTTGCATTCGAATTAATTGAATTGAGTAAATTGGTATACAGTCAGACCCTTCTAAACGCAACCTCCCTAAATGCGTGCCCTATAAAAAGCTTCTTTAAATGCAATACTTGTATGTAACTAAATTTTTACTTAGAGAAGTCTGACTGTAATTAAAATGGAAAATAATGGAACGTTAATAATAACGTATGAAAAACAAAGAAACTAAATCGAAATAAGTCTGTCTTTAGTGCTCGGATTAGATTTCGACCAGGTTAACTTAGGTTTTTAACTGCATTTCAAAGATATCGTTCTGAAAGTTCGGATCGAGTTTCGAGTTCGTTCGACCATATTCAATACATTAGTTTTCTAAAAATAGCAGTGTTTAGCCCAAAATAATTTAAATGCTATTGGTTAGGGCCTGTTTAAGTTATGATTAAGTTCAGTATTATACTATAATTGCATTATAAACATTTTCGGAAATTGAACTGTACTACGTATCATTTTTCTTTTTGTGTATATTGCGACCAAAAAAAGTATCGACAATAAAATGCAGTCCAGAGCTAATTTTAATAATTCTATGCAACAAAGAGCTGTTTTTAGTAATGCAGTAATAATGTGTGACCAAAAGCTAATTTAAAAACATAATAATAATATTAAATAGTGTACGTATGATTATTTAAAACTATTTAAGATTTTTGAAAGAATTAATAAATTGAGATTATATAGTTTCAGATAATCTTATTTAAATAATTACGATTAATAACCTCGATACAGCACAGAAAGGATGAATTTTTTTTTATTTTCGATCTTTTTTACAATAATTTATTGTAGTTCACTTTATTATAGCGCTATTCAGTACGCTCATAAAAGCGAAAAAATACGTGGAGTGAATCTTGGAGGATGGTAATTTACCTTAACTTTTAAGTGACGACTTGAATTTTTTTATTGACTGTTAAGTATATGTTTTTATTTCACTGCACCGCATAAGGTTGGTGCTAGAGCCATGTAAGTATTATGAATCATGGTTATTTTAAATGTCAATAATAACAATAATTTTTGGATAAGTATACATTATAACGGTAATTTGGCAAATGAGCACGTGTTGCAAAGTGGCAAGTGTAGCCAATCATTTGTAAATTTAACGTAGTGTTATCCGACTTTTTATACGATAATGTGAATTTTTTTTGTCATGATATTTTTGGCACGAGATTACGTAATCATTTGTGCAAAATATTGTGAAAAAAACTTCACATAGTCATATAAAACGCCGGAAAACATCAATATTGGGCATATATGATACTTAACAGAAACTTTTTTCATCGGAATTAATTTCACTAATGTGATGCTACGCATCACATGGAGCGACGTTAACTCCGATTAAAAAAATTTCCCTTTCAAGACAGAGCTTCTTTATTAAAAATGATACAATCATTATAAATGTATAAGTTTTAAAAACATTATCAACTATCAATTATCTCAATTTCAACATTCTATGAGAATTTACAAAGGATCAAAAATGAAAATAATTACAGATGAGGACCCAAAATCATAGAAGTTCGTCTAAATGCTAATAAATTCAATTTAATTTTACATTATTTATACAGTTAGAGCACTTTTCAAAACGAATACTAACCACAATAGAGTAAAAAAAAAAACATATAGAAGGTTTCATTAGAGCTGTAGTACTCCATAGTCAAAAATAAGATCTATTTCTTGTTCGTTTAAAAAAATTAGCTTAGTATTAAGTTGATTTTATCAGGTTTGAGAAGTTATTACTATACTAGCTTTTTTAAGCGGACAAGAATTAGATCTTATTTTTGGCTGAGTCCTATAGCTATAATGAAACCTTCTATACAGCTTTTTTTTATTTCACTATAATTAGTTTTCGATTTTTTCAAAAGTATTCTAAACCGTATAAATAATGTAAAATTAACTTGAATTTATTAGCAAACTTCTGCCTATGAGGCCCAAAATAAAAATTCTTACATATAGCGGCCCAAAGTCAAAAATAAAGGCCTGTCCGATCTCCGAGATATACTAGTCGACTAAGCCACAAGATTTTCATAGCGTTGCTCAGAAAAACCAGATTTTTTTTACGTACATATGACTTCGAAAGCTGATTGCCGGTAAAATTATCATGCTTAGTAATGATAAACTTTAGAACTTTTATTTTTAATTTCGGTTTAACTTCGGTTTAACTTCGGTTTGATTTTACTTTGATTATCGGTTTGACTTTTATTTTGACCCTCACTATGACTTTTCGTTTTGATTTTGACCTCTTCTTTGCTTTAACTTTCGGTTTGACTTAGACCTTTCTTTGGTTTCATTTTAACTTTCATTTTTATTTGAAAATTTTTGCCGTGTTGAATTCACAAAAATATAATTTCGATCGATCGTTTAAATAAGCAATTTAAGTTCGTGAATATTTCATATTTTGCTTCTTGTTTATTAATATTAATTTAGCTAGTAAATACAAAGGATTTTAATGTTCAAAATAACCAGCATATTATATCTTTTTATTCGTATTATTTAGTTATATATAAAAATGCTTTTATCAAAACGTTAAAATTCGTAAAGTCATACATAAGTTTGTTAGCGAGATTCATGAATAGTACCTTTAGTTTTTTCGTATAAAAAAATTGAATCTTAAAGTTATTTTAGTGATATTGTATAATTATTTAATCCGGTTATCATTTTTTCTGGGAGACGCTGTCTTGTTGCTTAGTCACCTATATAGCCGTAGATCGGGCAGGTAATGATTTTTTATTTCGAGCTGCTATATCGATATGTCAGAATTTTTATTTTTGGCCCTCATCCGTAATTATTTTTATTTTTGGACCTTTATGTGTAAATTTTAAAATATTTTAATACTTAAATGTCTAAAAATACAATTTCTTATTAGCAATTAACAATTAAAATTCCAATCACTAAAATTATAAAAAAAACATTATTTGTATTTCATAACATTTTATTAGGGATTAAACCAAGTCTTTTTAAGCAATTCAAGCTCCAAGACCAGGTTGTTGATGAATTTACATTTACTAAATTTTTGGGTCATGATGAAGCCAAAAGACAACTTCATGATCATTGGTCATCTTGGGTAACGGAACAAGATATAAAAAAACTTGCATCATACGGATTAAATCATCTCAGGTATGAAATTCTGTGTGTAATAAAGTACTTAAAGACTTTCTATAACATTTTTTGTAATTTTATATAGAATACCCGTTGGTTATTGGTCTTTTGAAAAGAAGTCAACCGAACCATTCATTATGGATGGTTTTCATTATTTATTGAAGGCGGTTAGATGGGCAAAAAAATATGGCATGAAAGTCATTATCGATTTGCATGGTGCTCCAGGTTCTCAAGTAAACATTCGTGACATAATTTATTGTTGTGTAATATTTAGTACAATATAATATATTTTAATTTCTGGTTTTTGTTTATTAGAACGGATTTGACAACTCTGGTAAACGTGGCCCTATTGAATGGCAAACTGGTGATAATATACAACGTACACTTAATGTTATCAAAAACATAACCGAGACATTTAGTCGTCCAGAGTTTAGAAATACTGTTACCATCATTGGCGTGCTTAATGAACCCAAGTAAATTTTAATTTTCATTGATTTCTAACAAGTTTTAATTATATAATAATATTAATAATATAATATCTTGCGATTCATTATTAATAATATAATATCTTGCGATTCATTTATATTATAGGTCTCTTGTAAAAAATCAATATAACAAATATTTTAAAGAAGCTTATAAAATTATTCGTGACAAAAATAATGATATTTTAATATTGTATGATTCTACTTTCTTACAAGTTGATGATTCGATAAAATTTCTGGAATCTTTTGAATTCAAAAAAATTGCGTTGGATACCCATATTTATAATGCATTTAATTGTAATTTTGTTTCAATGAGCATTAGTGATCAATTTACCAATGTTTGTTCAAATTATTATAATATATCTTCTACTAGTCAAGATGTTTTGAGATTTGTTGGGGAATGGTGATTAGAAAAAAAATTTTTTTTGATCATTATATTGTTTAAGTGCCTAATTATTAATTTTTAATTGTGAATATAAACAGGAGTCTTGCTACAACTGATTGTACATGGTTGTGGGGATATAGCTCTAGGTGCAACTACCCTAGCAATACGTGTCAAGCTCAAGACGACTATTTGAACTGGACTTCTGAGTATAAAAGCTTTTTGAAACAATATGCATCAGCACAAATGGACGCTTATGAAGCAGGGTAAAAATTGAATTTATATATTTATACAGCATATCTATATTTTTTATATATTTTTTTATTATTGCTTACCAATTATCCTATTTCAATAAAAAAGGATTGGTTGGATATTTTGGACTTTCAAAACTGAAAGTTCTGTACATTGGAACTTTGCGCTTGGAATTGAACAAGGTTGGATACCACTTACTTATAAACAACGAACATATGACTGTTCTTGAAATTTTCAAAATTTTGGTTTGAGGATTAAAAACATGCTAAACTTTCTTCAATTTATATTATAAACTTATTTGTTTTATGCATTGAGTTTTGTTTTTAAAAAAAAAACATAAAAAACATACGATAGGTTCCAAACCACCATAGGTGCGTTTTATAATAAATGTATTTTTCGAATCTGATTAAGCTTTTGAAATCCTTTTTCTACCGCAAAACAATGTGTTCAGAATCAACTTTTCTATTAAAAAAATTACATGTGTAAAAAAATTGATCTTTATTGAAATAGCCAGGTCTTAAAACTGTTTAAGAACTTGATCAGTCGTTCAATCCTAGTTCAAAATTACAGTTCAAAATAACGTTATTTGGAACCTCTGTAATAGTAACGATAACGATTAAATACGTAGCACAAGTGTACATATATATGCTAAGTTAGGGTTGAAAATTACATTTTACAAACTTAAAATACATGCAAATTTCACATTTCATGTGAATTTCACATGTGATATATAGACCGGCACTATGAAAAACTCAGCTGACATATGATCCAACCAATCATATGAGCATATGATCACGTTCCTTACAAATTATGTTATGAAAACTTATCCTAGTTACGGTTAAATTGGTTTTTAGGTCAAGTTAAACTTGACCCGAGTCAAATTAATCGATTAAAAAACCCCAGTCGGCATCAATAAAATTCGGCCCGCACTAACCACAAAATTCTGCTAAGTGTCATTTTGACCCGGGTCAAGTTTAATTTGACCAGTATATACATGCATGTGTAATACTTTTGTGCAGAGCTTATGAAGATAAGTTCGTTGAACTAAGTTTTGAACTAAGATGCAACTTTCACATGATATAGTTTGAACTATTCCAAAATTAGGACTTCTATTTAGGACCGAACAAGATTTTTACCATCCCTATGTGCCCTACAGTACATAAAAATAGCACTGTTAAAAACGATTAACAAGGCGCATGGATAGTGTTCCGCAGAACCGAACCGAAACCCGGAATCGAACCGAGAACCGGCCATCGGGTCGAGTCCAATTCCATGATTTTTAAAACCGCCCGGCTTCGGTTCTCAGACACGGGTACCCGGTGGACCCGCATGACCCGCATAAATTATCACCTGATCTCTAACGAATAGAATTTTAAAGTGTTCAATATGTGGCATTCCACTAAAAGCAATTTTAACAATTATGGTGTCACAAATAAGAGTAGAGCCGTGATCAAAAAATATCTACGTAGAGTGGTCAAAGATCACACCCAAGAATCTGACTAATTATGCATGTATTTGCCCCACAATTAGCGTAAATAACCAAATTGAGAATGGATTAGAATCATGTTTCAGCGAAGGAACAATAAATATGGTAGAAAGTAAGTCAATTAGTTTCGTAAAATGTAACAAATAATAAAATTTAATAAAGTAATACTTTAACCCAGTCGAATTATAATATTAATATATTTAGTTATATAAAAGTATAAAGTTTATTGTGACAGATTGTGTCATAGTCAAATAAACTTTTGATTGGTAATCGTATTATTTAAATAAAAGAAAATTCAAACAGTAAAAAAAAATTTCTAACTTTTAAACTTAATAATCTAAAATACTGGGCAAAAAAAAACTAGTAAAAGCTCATAGTAATTTCAACATACAAGTCGATTGTTAAATTCAGATGAAGAGACAAAGACATAAAAAAGAACAATCTAGCACTCACCACTAAAAGTCATATTAAAATCAGAAAAATTAAGCAAATATTTATTTTATATACTAAAGCATCAAATTTCAGGACTTACAAAGTAATAATGATAAAATAATTGGCATTTCAAACCTTATGCATAATATATATGAGTGCTGGGAAATATAAATAAAATAAAACTGTGCTAAGCATAATTAGCAGTAGTATGATCGATAATGATAATTATATATAATCTTTTCAACTAAATGCAGAAACATACATATATATTGGCTAGTAATTGAACAAACACAATTACATTAAATCGAGAATAGATTAAAAGTGTAATAATAATGTTTCAGGATAAAAAGATTCATAAAATAATTGAATTAAAATATGAAACTTAAATTTTGTAAAATATATAAACTTGAATATTCATTTTTTTAAAGAGATATAGGTTAACTTATCATCTATCATTATATTATTATGAAAGATTCTGATAATTCCTATCTATATACAGACCAATCTTTTATAAATGATTACTATGTATATGATTCTTATACAGATTCTTATGATAACCCTCATAATAATAAATCTGATAATTTGGAAAATAATGAATCATCCCAAGCAGAAACTGTTATTAGTAAGAAATGTCCTATATATTATTTATATGAAAGTATTTAATAAAGAAAAAAATAGACCTTATGCTAAATGTAGGCTTTGTCCTAAAAACAAAGGAATAATAAAATATGCTAAAGGCTTAACATCAAGTCTTAAAAAACATCTTACTACACGTAAAGAAAAGGTGCCTGAATTAGATAAAGGAAAATCAAATATCACTATTGTAGATATGCTAAAAAATCAATCATCTGTTAATAATTGTTCTCGTGAATCTTTTAATTTAACACATTTTAAAAATCTTATTAAACATTGGATCGTTAAACATAATCAACCATTTTACATTATAGAAGATGATGATTTCAAAAAAATATTCTTATATTTAGAAACTAATGCAATTGTGCCATCAGCTGATTTAGTAAGAAGACATATTACAAATGACTTTAAAAAAGAATGTAATAAGCTTTATAAAAAATTACAAAAATCTCTAAAAAACTTTCAATAATGACTAATATTTGGATGAAAGATAATAATAGTAAATCATTTATAACAATTACACTTTATTATATAGATACATCTTGAAAATTAAAAAACATTCTTTTAGATTTTATAAATATGAATGGACTACATTCAGGTTCTTAAATTGCTAATAATATAAAAAGCTGTCTTCAATTTAATAGAATTTTATCAAAGCTGATAGCAGTTATGTATGACAATGCTTCTTCTAATATTAAATTTGTATGAGATTTTTTTAGTCTTATAATACAGTTAGGTTTTTAATTTGATAACAATCAACAATCTATAAGATGTTTTACTAATATTCTAAATCTTACAATTCATAGCATATTAAGTATTATAGAAGTTGAGCTAAATAAACTACGGGATTTAATTAAATATATTTAAGAATCACAATTATATTGTAAAAAACTAAAAACAATTTGTTTAATACATAATATGAATGTAATAAAACAATTCTTGATGTGGTTACTAGGTGAAATTCTATATATGATATGTGTAAATAAGCAGTAGTGCCAAAAGCTATATTGAATTCAATGACTCTTGCTAAAATAGAATTGTGTCAATATATTTTTACAGATGAAGATGAACAAAAATAGAGCTTCTTGTTAAGGTTTTGTATTTATTTAAAGATGCAATAACAATTATGTCTGCATCAGAATATTCAACTCTAACAATGACTGTTCCCTTATATTATACATTGTTTGAAACATTTGAGGAAGTTAAAAAAAATTATGATTCATTATTTTGGCTTGTTCAAAAGTGTGATGCTGCAAAAAAAAAATTTATGAATTATTGTAGTAAGTCAAATATGTTACATCTTGCATCAGTGGTATTAGATCTACAACTTAAATTTTATTTTTTTGAATTACTTAATTTGCCACCACAACTCATTGTTGATATTAAGAACATTATTAAAAACAAGTTCAAAAATGAATATGCATCTTTTTCTGATCAAAATACATTGCATAAAACTATTATACAGTCTACACTAATAGCATGAATTTTTAAGCAAATAATTATGGATCAACAAAGTAAATTAGATATCTATTTCTCAATGCCAAATGTAGACACAAATATTAATATATTAGAATGATAGCAAATAAATAAGCTGAATTATCCAAATCTTGCAAAATTTGCACAAGATTGTCTTTCAATTCCTAGAACAAATGTTTTAAGTGAACAGGTTTTTAGTATTAGAAATGATATAATAACTGATAAGTGAAACTGATTAAGTGAGAAAACATTTCGATCAGCCATGTATTTAAGATCATAGTGGAAAGAATATCAAGACTAATTAGATTTATATAAATTTATTAAAATAAATTGCATAAATAATAACTAATAGATTTTCTTTTTTTAGTGAAACAATACTAGTTATTCTTATACAATCCTTTTGTTTAGTCAGTTATAATAAATAGATTATAAATAATCTAAATTTTTATATTCAAATTAGTGGTTTTTAGTTTTTTTACAGTATTATAGTATTATTGTGAGCAAAATTAATTCATTAGATAATCTTATTCAAATTACTAATGCCTTTGATCAACTGAATATCAAAATTTAGAATTTAAGTAATTTGAATTAATATTAAAATAATATGCATAAGGCATTTATATGCTGTTAAAAATAAGCTTAAATAAATAATTATAATGATTTTAAACCCATAATTCATTATAGATATGAAGTTAGCATATTTAAAGATTATAATAAACAATAATAAATTTAAATATAAATATTTGTTATTTGTTTTTTAGCAATTATAAATATAGCTTAATTCTTGATTTATAGAGAATATTATTGAATCGAATCAATGCATCTATTCAGTTTGATAAGTATCTATCATTATACTGTTACATGAATCTAGCAAGGAAAATTAAAAACCCAAAGTCTATTTTCCTTTGGTAATACTTATTTTATTTTAATTTAAGTTGTTTATATATATTTGCTAATACACAATAATTAATGCATAGCATAAGTGGTGTGTAATTACAAATGTATCTATATAATATAGTATCTATTTTATAAAATTTTAGTAAAAATGACATTTAACAAATAATTAATCAGGTTTCAGTTCAGTTCTGGGTTTTGGCATCTCAGTTCCAGGTTTAGGTATGGACCCGAATCAATTTTTTAGTTCGAGTCCAGTTTTGCATAAAACCCAGACAGAACCAGACTATGCAGAACACTAACAATATTTTAAAGTCAGTATTCAAGAGTAGGAATAATCACCATATTAATAATATAACAAGCATGTGAGTTAGTAATATATTTGGTTTTAGCAATTTAGATTAATTGAGAGGATTCAGAGATAAATAGTTTTGTTTGTTTAGATTGTTTGTTGTCTAAAGTAAACCAACAACCTAAAAATTTAAATAGTATTTTAGGAGAATGAAGAAGAAGAAAATGGTTATTATAGGAGATAGGTATATAATGAGGTGGAGGATTGTTGGTAATCAGAATAGATTTTGAAGGATTGACTTAGATATTGGCTATAGTATAAAAAAATTCAGCTATAGATAATATGTGTGATAGTTCAAATTGTGATAAAGCAATCCAAAAAGTATTATCCATATAAGCCAAGACAGAACATTATTTTTGTAATGAGTTAGATGTTTGAAGTTTGAGGTTACTAGTTCAAGAAGATTGTAATTTGTAACCAGGATTATTTGATATATATAGGAGATAAATGGATCATAGTAAATGCACCATAACAAGGAAGTAATAGTTTTACCTTGGTCAATACTATTGTAAACTGAGTAGGATGAAGTTAAACCAAGATTAGTTATAACTTGATTGTAACGATCAGTAAGAAGATTAGAGAGAATGTTAATAGTAGATAAAGGAAGTGAAAAATGAGAGAGTGCATGTTTGAAGAGAGTAAAGTTAACAGAGTTATAGGCTTTAATCATATCTTGTGAAAGTAACCAAATGTCCTTATAATTGCAAGAAGCATCTTTAATAAAGTTGTTTAGAATATAAATAAGGATTGAAGTACTATTGTTGGAAAGAGCAACATAATTAAAAGGTGAGAGGATAGGATGAGTTGAAAATACAAAGCTAAGCCAATTAGTAAGAATTTTGATATAAAACTTATGGATATGTTTAACAAGACTAATAGGTCGAGTAAGATTAAAGTTATCATCAAAAGTATTTCATTTAGGAATAGAATAAATGTGACTATGTTTCTATTGGTTGGGAATTCTGTTTTCAAGAAGGCAACAGTTAAAAAGAGTAATGATAGCAGAAGTACATAGAGGGCTAATATGTTTAAGCATTTTATAACTAATGCCTATAGAACTACAGATATTGTTATTAGGTAATTGAGAGAGAGTTTTGTAAGTTCATCATTAATAATAAGAGAATTGAGAGAATGATACCAAATTGAATTAATGTGAATGGGTGGGAGGTAGTGTTGTTGCCAGAAATTATTAAAGAGAGTTTAATTGATAGGTCTGTGTGCTGTTCAGTCTTAAAAATAGGATCAAACATGTTGTTTAATGATTGGTAGGTTAATAATAAGCTCTTGAGAAAGTTTTATATTAGTAAAGTGAACAGGTTGGTGGTAACAATTAAGAATGCTGTTGATAACCTAAGTAGGATGTGTTGTAAGATTAACACAACTTTTGTCAATAGCTTTGTTGATTTGTTGTCAAAATAAAAGAGAGTTTTCAAGATAAAGAGTATGAAAAAGTTGTTTTCAGATTGAGTAAACATGTTGAAGCCAAGTTTAAATAAAGGTTAAGTTAATAGAAATAAGTAATTGAATGTTACTTTGTGACTGTTTGTTAATTTGGGAGATGTTTTGATTAATATAGAAGGTATTGGAATGTTGGATAAGTTTTTTAACAAGTTTAATAATATGATCAAGTTTTTTGAGAGATAGATGTAATAGAGTACTGTAAGATGAGTATTGATAGTTGTAGCTACATTTGTGAGAAACTTTGTTAGGAATAGTATGAGTAGTACTGTAAATAATAGAGTATTGAACTTTATTCCAAATGATTTTAATACTCTCATAAGTTTCATTATTGGTAGAAGTTTTGTGTAATAGGAGATGTTGAGATAAAGTA